TCCTCTTTGCATTTTAGGGCGCCAAATATAAATTTTCTTAGGAAAACCAAAAAACTCATGTTTAATACATTGGCCCCTTGGTGTGTTTTTAACATCTTTATTAAAAAGCAATCCACATCATAAAATGTATCTACTTAAAGTGTACAATTCAGTGTTTTAGAGTTGTGCAACTATCACCACAGTCTTAAATTTAGAACGTTTTTATCATTCCCCAAAAATACCTTGTACCCATTAGCAGTTAATCTCCATTCCTCTAATCTCTAGCTCTAGAAAATCACTAATCTACTTTTTATCTCTAAATTTGCCTACTCTGGACATTTCATAGAGATGGAATCACACAATATGTATTTATGACTGGCTTCTTTCACTTAGCATGTTTTGGATTTTCATCCATGTTACAGCATGTATCAATGCTTCATACCTTCTTATTGACAATCCATATTTCTTTGTATACCACATTCTATTTATCTTTTCATCAGTGAAGGACATTTAGATTGTCTACACTTTTTTACTATTATTAATAATGCTACTATGAACATTGTGTATAAGACATGTTCTTATTTCTCTTGGGTATATATCTACAAGTAGAATTGCTGGGTCACATGGTAATTATGTTTAACAATTTGAAGAACTGCCTATCTGTTTTCCATAGTGGCTGCACCATTTTATATTCCCACCAGTAGTGTATTAGGGTTCCAGTTATTCCACATCCACACCAACACTTGTCTTTCTTTTTGATTACAGCTATGAAGTGATAGTGCATTGTGGTTTTGATTTTCATTTCCCTGAGGACTAATGATAGTGAGCATTTTTTTATGTGCTGTTAGACAGCTAACTCTTCTTTGGATAAATGTCTCTTTGACTTTTTTCCTTATTTTAAAATTTGTATTTTAATTATGATTTGCATCAATCAAGCAATATTTGATTTATTATCAATACATTTTTTATACTACATGTGACTTATGAGATATATGATTTGAAAAAATTTTCTCCCATTCTATAGGTTGTTTCTTCACTTGTTTTTTAAAATATGTTTTTATTGATTTTTTTTTTTTTAGAGAGGAAGGGAGAGAGAGATAGAACATCTATGTGAGAGAGAAACGTCCATCCGCTGCCTCCTGCATGCCCCTATTGGGGATCGAGCCCACAACCTGGCCATGTGCTCTGACGGGGAATTGAACCAGGACCTCTCAGTCCATGGGACAACGCTCAGTCCACCGAACCACACCGGCTGGGCATGTTTCTTCACTTTCTTGATGGCATCATTTGTTCCACAAAAGTTTTTCATTTTAATATAGTCCAGTTTATCTATTTTTTGTTGTTGTTGTGCTTTTGTTGTTATATCTAAAAAAAAAAAAATCATTGCCTAACTCAAGATTATGGGGATTTATTCTCTCGTTTTTTTCCTAAGAGTGTTACAGTTAAACTTTGACATTAAAGTCTGTAATCTATGTTGAAAGAACAATTCTTTATCAATTGAATTGTCTTGGTACCCTTATAGAAATACATTTGATCATAAATATGAGTTTATTTCTGAACTCCCAATTCTGTTTTATTGTTCTATATGTCTTTCCTTATGCACCATACACTGGCTTGATCACAGGAGCTTTATTAAGTGTTAAAATTGAGAAGTGTGAGTTCTTCAACTTGGTCCTTCTTTTTCAAGATTGTTTGGCTCTTCCACATGAATTTTAAACCTTGTCACTTTATGCAAATAGTAAGCTAAGACTTGTTAAGGATTTGTTCCACTCTATCAGTCAATTTGGGGAGAGCCCCTTAGATTTTGTCCTTCTTGGTACTAAACTTAAGTTCTGCCTATTATATCCTTTCTCACAAAAGTAATTTTATTTTCATGTTCTAGGTACACATTAAAAGATAATTCTTACACTGTATTAGTGTTAAACTAACCATGAAGATCCCTGGCCCATTTGGCTCAGCAGTTAGAGCACTGACCTGTGGACCAAAGTGGGTTGCAGGTTCGATTTCCAGCCCAGGTTGGGGTCATGTGGGAGGCAGCCAGTTCATCTCTCTCTCTCTCTCTCTCCCCCCTCCCCCTCCATCCCCCCATCCCTCCCTCCTTTCCACTCTATCTTTAAAAAATCAATGGAAAAATATCCTCAGGTGAGGATTAACAAAAAATTATATAAAAAATAAAAACTAAACATGAAGAAATGTGTAATAATTATTTTTTGTATTGTTAAAAATACAATATTGTATAGGCTAACTCCTTCCACAACAAAAATCTATATGTACAGAGAAATGATCATAAAAAGGAAAACCAAGAGAGCTCTTTTAGAGCTGTGTGTGTGTGTGTGTGTGTGTATATGTACATATATACATGTATATATGCATACATATATATGTATGTGTGTAAATATATTTATTGTTATTGTTGTTAAATAGCAAAATTCTAGCCCTGGCCAGTTTGGTTCAGAGGCAGACCATCGGCCCACGGACCAGTGAGTTGTGGGTTTGATTCCAACCAAGGGCATGTACCTCGGTTACGGTTCGTCACCGGCCCTGGTTGGGGTCATGCAGGAGGCAACCAGTCAATGTGTCCCTCTCACATCGATGTTTCTCTCTTCATTTCTCTCCCGCTCCCTCCCACTCTATCTGAAGATAAATAGAAAAATATCCTCGGGTAAGGATTAAAAAATAAAAATAAAAAATAGCAAAATTCTGTATCACAGAAGAATTTCCATAAGCCCTTTCATTTTGTTACTTTTTCTGAAGAGATTTACTTTGTATTTATAAGTATTAGCAAAGGTTCATGTATGAGGAAAAATTAGATAATAACACCTCTATGGAATGTGGATGAGGATTACAAAAATAAACATTTTAGATTTTTATAATGCTTTAAATTCCATTGGTGCCTAGAGTAAGACATAGGCAGCTATTTGATAGTTTATGTGGTTTTGTTTAGTAAGTAAATGCCATAATTTTGCGGTTCTTGACTTTGGCTGCTATGTATTTGAATCCCTAGAGAGCTTTTGAAAATCCAGATGTCCCTTATAGCACACCAGACCAATTAAGTCGAATTTCTGGGGTGGGACTTGGACATGACTTTTTAGAGTTTCTTGGGAGAATCTAACGTGCAGCCAATATTAGAACCACTGCCAAAGACAGTCCAAAATGCAGATGAGATCGAGCTCAGGAAAATGTAATTATTCTGAAATGGCAATGACAGGTAAACCATCTGAATTGTATGCCACTTTACTTATAATATCAACAACTATGAAAAGTATTATGGAATTATTGGGACATAATGATTTGAATTTTTGCCTTTATTTGTGAACCAATAATAAAATATTAATAATTACCAGAACTCCAAAATTTGGTACTAAGAAGATAATTATACATACCACCATATAAGCCCTGGCCAGTTTGGCTCAGCGGTTGCAGCATCGGCCTGCGGACCAGAGAGTCCCGGGTTCAGTTCCTGCTAGGTGCACGTATCCCCCCCCCAAAAAAATTAATATATTCATACCACCATATAGATAGCCATTTGTTTGAGGAGAAAAGTCCACTTGCTAAACAAAATTAAGTTTGAAAGCCACCAGTGTATTGGAAGAAGCACCGGGTTGAGAGTTTGGGAATCTGTTCTAGCTCTGCGGTGTAACTTTGAACCAGGGTAATTAAATTATACTTTATATAGGAGTTGAACTGGAGGATGTAGGGATGAACAGAACATTGAAAAGCTCACAGAAGATAGACATGCAGAATATATAAGTGTAGCTGTAGTGAAATGTTCAGGGAATTAAGAGAGCACAGAACTGTATTTCATCTGGTTCAATACTGAGACAGATGCATTCATGCACAAACCCCTTCTTCCCTACTGGTAGAACCCATCTCTGAAATACACTGAAAATACCAGGTGCTTACTTTCCTAGCCACCCTTACAGCTGAGGCATAGTTGTGTGACCCAGAGCTGGTCAGTAAGATTAGAGGAGAAATCTACTGGACAGTTTTCCTTACAAAAGTTGACAATTAAGACAATGCCCTTTCTTCCTTCCTGTCCTGATCTTGTTGGATGAAGACATGATACTTAGCCTATCAGTCTCAAAGTGACCTTTGTAATACTAAGAACAAAGGCCTCCATGCTGGTTACAGTCAAAGAGGAAAATGAAAAAAGCCTAGATCTTTGGTGTCAAGGTTGAGCTGCTGAACAGCCACATACCTGTGGACTTATTAAGTGAGATCAAAATACTTATGGTTTGAATCCTTGGTCCTTTAATAGTGGTCTGTGGATCAGCAGTATCAGCATCAGCTGGGGCGGTTAAGAAATGCAGAATCTCAGAGCTCACATCAAACAGACCTCCTGCATCAGAATCTGTATTTTAATGAGATCACTAAGTGAGTGAGATACACATTAAAGCTTGAGAATCACCATTTAAACCACCTTTAATTGGTTAAAAACATCCTTATAGCCCCGGCCGGTTTAGCTCAGCTGTTGGAGCATCAACCCGAGCATGGCAATAAAATACTGATTTTCACATTATAGGTAACCTTGTTAGTATCCATTGAGCCTTAAAAGCACAGTAATCAAATGTTTCAGACTACCACTCAGGACATATAGGAATTTCTTTGCAATTAGAACTTGAATTTCTGGAATAATTGCTTCTGCCATTCCCAAGGGACTATAACAGTTTGTTGCATAAGAATAAGAAAGTGAAATTTCTTTTAATCTTTTTAAAGTTTTATAGATTTTTGTGTTTATTCCTTTATTTTTTGATTCAGTAATTGTAGAGTAACTCATAATTACTCCAAAAAAGAGCCTGTTTATATTTTCACAAATGTGAAAATTTCTCAATTTTTTTATTCCAACTTTTATGATCACTGGAAACTTACAAATGCATATTGAAGATGAAGTGAAATTATTATATGTCAATCTTGACTTTTTATTTTAACTTCATTTGCACATACTTTTAATACTTTTTGTTAGAGCAAAATGGTAACAAGTTAATAGCAGTAATCAATTAACAAACCACTTTATTTTACAGGGAAAATATTTATCCCTAAACAGAAACCCATACAGACTTTCACAGAAGAAAAAATCTCTCTTGATCCAGAATTAGAAGAAGCTTTGACAAGTGCTTCTGATACAGAATTGTGTGACCTCGCAGGTATGTCCTAAATACACATGAACGTGTGAATGGGTGTGCAGGGGAGGGAGTGCTAGCACACACTTCTGTGCATTATGCAAATGCTTCCTTTGCCTTGAAAAGTGCTGTTGAGTCGGTGACCACACAGTTGGCTTTACTTATTAGACTAAATCTTACACAAAGGATTTCCTTTTTTAATCTCTCAATGGTGGAATTTTTATTAACATAAATTTTTATGTTAATGGAATTTATTGTATCATTTGACTTCTTTTCCCACATTGCCCATTTTGAAAGTCTTTATAAAAATGTTTCATCAGCTAGTGCTCAGCTAGAAGCTGTCCCATCTGAGCACTGAAAAAGTGTCGCCAGGGTCAACTGCTGTCCATTTTATCAGAAAGATCCCAAGGTGGGTAACTGGAAGCAGACGACAGTTAGCCCTGAGCTGTATTCACTACTTTCCCAACCTCTCTGACCACTCTAGACCTCCCTGTTATTTTCATCACTGCCAGTTCCTTATAAGCACCAGTAGCTACCCCCACCTACTCCCACACACACCCATTTTCCTAGATAGAAAACATGACATGTGCGGAGATCTTAGTCCCAAATAATTCCAGGAACTAACGTGTTTGAAAGAATCAGTGATGATTCTTTGGGAAGGACCCAGGAAAAGGACAGTCAAGGTGTGCGACAGCCAGAGCAGGTGTCTTATTTCTAGGGGTGGTGAGGATTGATGGATTTATAAATTCATCAGAGTGGAACGGGCCAGGGGCACACTGTAGCTTCTGCTTCATGTATGCAAAAGGGCATCAAAAACCAAATTTATTCTTCCTAAGTGTCATTTTTGGGAGATGCTACTTTAATCTTAAATATGAGAATTCAGCAGTACTTTCAGTATTCTACTCTTAGCTAAAATACGAATATAAATTAATATGAGAGTTAACCAATGTAAAATAGCGAAGGTTAAGTTGAAAATCTGCCTTCTATCGCATTATGTTGCTAGAAACCTTGTGAGAAGGATGAACAGCAAAATAAATCATTTCAATTATTTTCTTAGCCACGTGATGGAGCTAAGCATAGATTTGCTAAATTTAAGGTTAGGCTGGCTCCAGCCATGTGTCTGAATTCAGAACAGTGGGGAGATGAGAAGGAGAGTGTAGGTGATTTTTAATCACGTTATCTCCCCTTATTTGGTTGCAAAATCTGCATTTAATTGAGTAGGAAATGTTCAGAGAATGTTAAAATCATTGATAGAAATTTTTGGTTGTAAAACTAATTATTTATGTTTAGAACTGATGGAAATAAAAATAACTTTCTTTTCTATCTCTATAGCTATTCTTGGGATGCACAATTTGATAACGAATACACAGTTCTGTAATATAGTGGGAAGTAGTAATGGTGTCGATCAAGAACATTTTTCAAGTAAGTATTTACAGTACTTTGTGAATTTCAATCTTTTGTTGAATATATTTTGTTTTCTCCCTGTATCAGCTTCAGTTGTATACATACCAAATGTTATGTATATATACTGTAAACCTGAGATTCTAGTTAGATGATATTGATATAGAAAACCATTAAAAATGGAATATTAAGTATTTTATGCTTAATGTGTCAGCAAATGTAATAGGAACTACTCTCACCTCATTAATAATACTAATGTTAAACATTGTAAATGCTAATCAAACTTGGCCTTTATTAACCTTTTTTTAATTGATTTTAGAGAGAGAGGAAGAGAAACATCAGTTTGTTCTCCCACTTATTTATGCGTTCATTGGTTGCTTCTTGTATGTGCCCTGACCATGAAGACCTGTAACCTTGGCATATCAGGACAACACTCTAACCAAGTCAGCTACCCGGCCAGGACTCTTTTTTCAATGTTACTGATTTTTTGAGAATTCTACAACAATGCTGACAAACTACATTATAAAATCTGATTTCAGGAGAAACCATGCAACTATTCAACTATCCAACCAATTCAAACCTTTTATTCTGATGTAAAGTATTAATAGCCGAAAGCAGAGCTTTTTAAAAAATTCATGTATAGGAGCCCTGACAGGGTTGCTCAGTTGGTTGAAGTGCCGTCTCATACACCAAAAGGTCTCAGGTTTGATTTCCAGTCAGGGCACATGCCTAGGTTGTAGATTTAGTCCCCTGGGGCACTTACAGGAGGCAACTGATTGATGTTTCCCCCTCACATCAATGCCCGCCCCCCCCATCTAAAATCAATTAAAAAAAAAAAACATATCCTTGCCTTCTTCGGTTTGGCTCAGCGGTTAGAGCGTTGGCCTGCAGTCCAGAGAGACCTGGATTCGGTTTCCGCTATGGGCACGCAACTCGGTTGCAGTTTGTCCCTGGTCCTGGTTGGTGGTGCGGGTGGCAGCCACTTGATGTGTCCCTTCACATCGATGTTTCTCTCTCTCTCTCTTCCTCTCTCTCCCTCCCACTCTACCTGAACAAAAAATGGAAAAATGTCCTCGGGTGAGGAAAAAAATAAATAAAGAAATTATGTTAGAAAAAAACACAAAAAACATATCCTTGGGTGAGGACTAAAAAAACAACTCACGTATAAGATGTTTTAAAATTACCAAAGTAGAGGATTCCAAAATGGCGGCAGAGTGAATGGAAGCTACACAGACTGTCTCCCAGGACCAAACTGGAATTACAACTAAAACACAGACAAATCGACGGGAAAACGCAACAGAAAAGCAGCTTGCAAGGACCATACAACCAGGGACACTGACTCGATCCTGGTAGGATTGCGAAGGTGTGAGACGGGGGCTGGGAGCCCACGGTTGGCAGCTCAGCAGCAGCCTTAGCTGGTAGCAGCGCCCTCGGGTTACACTCCCAAGCAGCTCCACAGCGCAGAGCCGGGACAGAGGCTAAAACAGCCACAGCAACTCACTGTGGGCTCCGGCAGAGGGAGGGCAGACTGCATGGAAACTCTGTGGGGACGCTTGGGATTTGGAGGGCACTCAGACCTTTTGCTGAGTTGCAGCCATGCAGGATGGTGGCCATATTGATCCTTCCCAGGGCTCTGGGGAGAGGCAGCAGCCCCTCCCTCGGAGATACAACCCCACCCTGTGGGCCATTGAAATGCAAATTGAGGCTCATTAACAACCGGCATCTGCCCTACCCTCGGGAAATCCCCTTACACTGAGCACCTGAGGGAGTTTTTCAATCAACTAACAACACAAAACTCTTCAAGTAACCTGAACTGCTAGCCTCCAGGCAAAAAGCTAGAGGATAACAGTACCATTCCTGGGCTAGCAATTCTAACCAGGAAAGTAAGACTTGACAGTGGTGTTTAACGTGGGTCCTCCCTCGCTCATCTAAACACAGGAGAGGGAGCCACAAACAGTAGAACACCAATACCCACAGGGAAAAGTTGGCAGGCTCCAAAGCCCACTGTGATAGCTAAAATGGTGAAACACAGAAATAAAAGCCAAATGAAAGAACAAGACACCTCCACTGAAGATGATATCTGTTAGGCAAGTTAACAGAGCTAGAATTTAGAGCCATGATCTTGAGGAAGCTCAACAGCATGAGTAAGGACATAGATATGCTGAAAATAAACCAATTGGAAATTAAAAACCACCAAGAAGAGATCAAGAGTGACATATCAGAAATAAAGAACACATTGGAAGGTCTAAAGAGCAGAGAAGAGGAAGCTGAGGACCGGATCAGTGAATTAGAAGACAGGGTAGAAAAAAAGCCAATCAGAAAACCAAAAGGTAAAAATGATTAAAAAACAGAAAGAAAACCAAAAGGTAAAAATGATTAAAAAACAGAAAGACAGCTTAAGAGAACTGTGGGACATAATAATATTCGCATCATAGGAGTCCCCGAAGAAGAAGAAGAAAATGAGCAGGGGTTAGAGAATATATTCAAAGAAATAGTGAGAGAAAACTTCCCTAATTTGGTGAAGGAAGAAGGCATTCAAGTCCAAGAAGCACAGAGAGCCCCAAGTAAGAAGAACCCAAACATGCTCACACCAAGACACATAGTAATTAAAATGCCAAAAATTAAAGACAAAGAATCCTAAAAGCAAGAAATAAGTAACAGGTTATCTACAAAGGAAACCCCATAAGGATCTCAGCTGACTTCTCACAAGAAACACTACAGGCCAGAAGGGAATGGCATGAAGTAATCAAGGTCATGAAAAACAAAGATCTGAATCCAAGACTGCTCTACCCAGTAAGGCTGTCATTCAAAATGGAAGGTCAAATAGAGCTTCCCAGGCAAAAAAAAAGGCTAAGGAAATACATTAACACCAGACAAGCACTGCAAGAAATGTTAAAAGGACTGCTCTAATTAGCAGTAGAAATGGGAAGAAAAATAGAACCACACTAAACAAAAAAGGCAATAAATAAGTACATATCAATAATCACCATAAATGTAAATGGACTGAATACTCCGATAAAAAGACGCAGAGTATCTGATTGGATTAGAAAGCATGGCTCATCTGTATATTATTTACAAGAGGCCCACCTCACAACAAAAGACTCACATAGATTGAAAGTGAAGGGATGGTAAAAAATCTTACAAGCAAACGGAAAAGGAAAAAAAGCTGGGGTAGCAATACTCATATCTGATGAAATAGATTTCAAAATGAAGACCATAACTAGAGACAAAGAAGGCCACTACATAATATTAAAAGGATCTATCCAACAGGAAGATAAAACCTTGATAAACATATATGCACCCAATATAGGAGCACCAAAATATATTAAAAATCTGGCTGGAGGACTTCCAAGGAGAAATTGACAGCAATTCAATCATAGCAGGGGACTTCAACACCCCATTGACATCACTGGATAGATCCTCTAGACAAAAAATTAGCAAGGAAATAGAGACTCTAAATGAAGCACTAGACCAAATGGATTTAATAGATATCTACAGAGAATCACACGCCAAAACTACAGAATTCACATTCTTCTCAAGTGCACATGGGACATTCTCAAAGATAGACCACATGATAGAACACAAACTAAATCTCTACAAGTTCAAGAAGATTGAAATCATATCAAGCATCTTCTCAGATCACAATGGCATGAAACTAGAAATCAATTGCAACAAGAACATGCAAAGACATTTCAACACATGGAGGCTAAATAGCATGTTATTAAACAATGAATGGGTCACCGAGGAGATCAAGGAAGAAATTAAAAACTCCTGGAAACCAATGAAAATGAACACACAGCAACACAAAATCTGTGGGATGCAGCGAAAGCAGTTCTGAGGGGGAAGTTCATAGCACTACAGGTCTACCTCAAGAAACAAGAAAAAATTCTAATTGACTGTCTAACCTTACAACTTAAAGAACTAGAGAGCAAACAAAAAGAAAACCCCAGAGCAAGTAGAAGGAAGGAAATAGTAAAGATCAGAGCAGAAATAAATGACATAGAGACCAAAAAACAATTCAAAGGATCAATGAAACAAAGAGCTGGTTTTTCGAAAAGATAAACAAGATTGATGGACCCTTAGCTTCACTCACCAAGAAACAGAGAGAGAACCCAAATACACAAAATCAGAAATGAAAGAGGAGAAGTAACAACTGACACCACAGAAATACAAAAGATCGTTAACAGCTACTATGAACAATTATATGGCAACAAATTCGACACTCTAAGCGAAATGGACAAATTTCTAGAAATACTCAGTCTCCCAAAACTGGACCAGGAAGAGATAGAAAACTTGAACAGACCAATAACAACTAAGGAAATTGAAGAGGCAATCAAGACTTTCCCAGCAAACAAGAGCCCAGGCCCAGATAGCTTCACGGGGGAGTTTTACCAAACATTCAAAAAAGAACTAACACCCATTCTCCTTAAACTATTTCAAAAAATTCAAGAAGAAGGAAGACTTTCAAACTCATTTTATGAGGCCAGCATAATTCTAATTTCAAAACCAGAAAAAGACACTACAAAGAAAACTAACTACAGGCTAATATCCCTGATGAACATAGATGCCAAAATCCTGAACAAAATACTAGCAAATCGGATCCAGCAACACATCAGAAAAATTATTCACCATTACCAAGTGGGATTCATCCCAGGGATGCAAGGCTGGTACAATATTCACAAATCAATAAATGTTATACACCACATAAACAAAATGAAGACTAAAAACCACATGATCATATCAATAGACTCTGAAAAAGCATTCAACAAAATCCAGCATCCATTTCTGATAAAAACGCTCAGCAATTTCTGAATAGAGGGATCATATCTCGACATAATAAAGGCCATATATGAAAGACCTACAGCCAACATCATACTCATTGGGCAGAAACTAAAAACATTTCCCTTAAGAACAGGAACAAGACAGGGATGTCCACTTTCGCCACTCTTATTTAACACTGTACTTTACGTCTTAGCCACAACAATCAGACATGAAGAAAAAATAAAAGGGATTTAAATTGG